TTTAACAATGGGTCAGTTCTTCGCATCAGGTGGCCAAAGTATTGGAATTCCAGCTTCAGCATCAGTCCTTCCAATGAATATTCAGGACTGATTTCCTTTAGGATGGACTGGTTGGATCTCCTTGCAGGCCAAGGGACTCTCAAGAGTCTTCTTCAAACCACAGTTCAAAAGCATCAATTTGTCAGTGCTCAGCTTTCTTTATAGTCCAACTCTCATATCCATACATGACCACTGGAAAAACCATAGCCTTGACTAGACAGACCTTTGTTGGCAAAGTAATGTCTCTGCTTTTTAATATGCTTTCTAGGTTGGTCATACCTTTTCTTCCAAGGAGCAAGCGTCTTTTATTTATTTATTATTATTATTTTTTTTATGGCTGAAGTTACCATCTGCAGTGATTTTGGAGCCCCCAAAAATAAAGTCAGCCACTGTTTCCACTGTTTCCCCATCTATTTGCCATGAAGGGACAGGACTTGGGACTATAGTATAAGTGATAGTGGGAACTCTAAGGCTAAGTAATAAAAATGACACAGCTTTCACTTGGTTCTTTTGGAATGCCCACTCTCAGAATCCAGTCAGTTTGTCAAAAGAAAACCCAAGCAGTCCATGCAGAATAAATGAGACCAATAGCCGCCGCATTGGCCAGTTCTCAGCCGATGCCAGCTTGCCAGCCGTGGACGTGGCCCATTTTGAAAGTGAGTCCTCTTCCTCTCAGCTGCACAGCCCCAGCTCGTATCATCTGGCACAGGCAAGCTGTCCTGTTCAATGACCTCTGCAAAACTTGCAGATTTTCAGCAAGATAAATGACTGATATTCCACTAGCTCAGTAGGCTTTGGGTGGGTTATTAAATAGCAACAGATAACTGATACTGACACCATTTCCTTTTTGAAATCGTCCTCAAGTACCCAGGTGGTGCTGTGTTCTTTTTGGCTTCCAGAGCAGTTTTAGTGTAGTATTATCTTAGTACTTATCATACTCTGTTGAAACTAATTAATCACTTGTCTACTTCCTTGTAAATATAGGGCAAGCCTGTGCCTTTTTGGGAAATTAGCTCTTTGAATATATTGCTTTTGCCCCATTCTCTCTCCTCCCTTTGGTCATACAAGTCAGAACTTCTTGGTGTATCTTCTAAGTGTCTTAGCTTCTCTTTCACATATATATTTTCTTATCATTTTTGTACCTCTATTCAAAACTCTGAAAAATCCTTCAACTTAATTTCCAACTCACTAAATCTCTTCTCAACTGAGTTTAATCTGCTGTTCCACTCATCCACTGAGGGTTCAATTTGGGGTTGTTTTTCTTTGTGTGTGTGTGTTTTTAATTTATAAAAGTTTTGTTTTTTTCCTCTCAAATATGCTAGGTCATTTTTTTTATGGTTTCTATTCCTCAAAACACCTTCAACCTTATGTTTTATCTATAATAACATGGCCATTTTATAGTCTGCATCTAATAATTCCAATATCTGAAGTCTTTTCAGGTGGGTATTTGTTCTTCCTTATTTCTGTTGATTTCTGATTGGAGATCTTTTTCTTCTAAGCTTAATGATTGCAAATTGATCATTTTAATTGGAAAAGTATTTATAGCAGTTACTTAGGGCCTACGGAGATAATTCAGCAGTCTGGTAATCATGTATGGATGTGAGAGTTGGACCATAAAGAAAGTTGAGCACTGAAGAATTGATGCTTTTGAATTGTGGTGTTGGAGAAGACTCTTGAGAGTCCCTTGGACTGCAAGGAGATCAAACCAGTCAAACCTAAAGGAAATCAATCCTGAATACTCATTGGAAGGACTGATGCTGAAGCTGAAACTCCAATACTTTGGCCACCTGATGCAAGGAACTGACTCATTTGAAAAGACCCTGATGCTGGGAATGATTGAAGGCAGGAGGAGAAGGGGACAACAGAGGATGAGATGGTTGGATGGCATCACCGACTCAACAGGCATGAGTGTGAGCAAGCTCCAGGAGTTGGTGATGGACAGGGAGGCCTGGTGTGCTTTAAATTCATGGACCGATATTTTGCAGACTATATCGATGATATGTTTTGGGTGAAAATCTGTGTAAGGACCAGCTCATGATTATAACACCTCAGGAATTTTTCTCCTTGTTCTGCTCACAACAAATCATCTTAGCAGATCTTGCAGTCTCCTTAGAATAAATATTATGAGACAGAATTATTTCTGATTACTGTGTCATTGTAGCCCTTGTAGCTCTAGGTTTATGGAGGACGGATTTCCTATCAGAGTTCACATGCTTAGCAGGCACAGAGATTTGCTTTCTGTACACAAACCTATAGAGGACTTGAGGACTGAAGTTTAACAGCAGGTTCAGCAAATTCCCTCAGGACAAAAGTGATTGTAATGCTCCACTGGCTTCCCACCTTCACCAATGTATTGACCCGATTATTTCTTACTAGTATACTGATAAAAAGAAGTTCCTTATTTAAATGTTATTTACTTTACATAATTTTCCTGTCACCTTTTTGATGCTTTTAAGTCTTCCTTTTCTGTATTTTTATCCAGCATGCTGTTTTTTTTGTTTTTTTTTTTTTTTTTATCTTTTTCAGCAGAATTGTTCTGAGCCTAATTAGTTTTAAAACCTGGGTCCATTTCTTTTTCATCCCTATATCCTCCTCATCGTGCAGCAAAGTGCCTGGCAAGTGAAGGAAGTCAATTAGTTTTCTTTTATTTAATGAATAAATAATGCTTTCATTCCTGCTTCCACCACCCCTAACTTAACACTCTACCTCTATTCCCTAATTAAAACTCTTAAATTTTCATATATATATATATATATATATATATGAAATTCATATGTGTGTGTGTGTATATATATACACACACATATATATATTCCCACATTAACTGAACTTTACTCCTGATTTCCCCACTATTTTCCCCTATCACCTCTCCTACAGAAGATTTTTCATTCTTTTCGAGTTTCATTCTTATCATCTCTCAGCATTGTCTTCACTCTCCACGACTGCTTCTGAATCACCCACTACTCTACCTTCATCCAATCTGCTCATCTGAAGATTATGCTACCCTATTATAACATACTTTTCCTGAGCTTTATTGTTACTATATGTGGATTTCCAGGCATAACTCCACATTTCTTGAGGATTTCACTACTTGGTTCACACTTTCTATTCCATTTTAGTTCTTAATATAATGCAGCAGTGTAATTAACATAGCATTCAAGAGTATAAGGGGACAACCCAAGTTCAAGTCCCAGAATCATCCATTGTTAATACGTAACCTTGGGAGGTTACCTAATATTTCCCTGCCTCATGTTCCTCTTCTATAAAATGGGAATCATGGTATTATTATCTTGTAGCATTGTAAGAATTACAGGAAATAGTGTATACAAAGCACTTATAATAGTACACAGTAAATGCTCAATAAACCTTATATATTTTCATGACTATGCTCTGACCTCATGCAAAAATCTTCATTCTACATGCTTATGATTCATACAACACCCTGGGCTTCCCAGGTGGCTCAGTGGTAAAGAATCTGCCTGCCAATTCAGCAGAAGCAAGAGATGCAGGTTCGATCCCTCGGTCAGGAAGACTCCCTGGAGAGAGAAATGGCAACCTGCTCCAGTATTCTTGCCTGGGAAACTCCATGGACAGAGGAGCCTGGTGGATTACCGTTCACAAGGTCGCAAAGAGTCAGACGTGACTGAGCATGCACGCATGCATTCATGGCCTCAGTACTTCTCAAAAACCTACTTGTTCACGTCTATAAAATTCTATAGCCAGTCATTTAAAATAATATTTCTGGATTTTACTCTAACCCTTCTCAACATTTAACTCTTCTTTTCAGTCAATAACCCTTACATTACTCAGAAATTGAACCCACCTGGACATACATATTTCAGTCTTCCTCTGTGTTCATAATGCTATATTTTTTCTTCTAAGAGAAGCAATGGTTGTGTTTTCTTAGACTATCTCAGTCTTGATTTATATCCATCAGTTTTCTCTTTTTACTCTTTGTCTTCTGTCTCTTGTTCTCCATCAGCAAACTCCTCCAACTTCTAAACTTGACCAAATCTTACTTATCCTAAAATAAACTAACCATTTCTCCCTCATACCACTTTCTTCTCATGGTAGCATTATAGCTCTTTTTCTAATCCTCTTCAAAGGGTAATCTGCATTCTCCACTCCCTTTTCCTTCTTCTGCATTTCTGAGTATCTCACTGTTAGCTTTTAAAATTCTAGGTTTATCACATCATTTCTTAAACTTACTTTTCAAAGACAGGCAGAAATTGGATTGTCAAACAAACAAACAAAGCCTCTCCTCAGAAATTCTACAGTTTCTTTGCAACCTTGAATATGCTGACCACCCACTTGAAGCTTTCCTCCCCCATTAGCTTTCACGTAACTACTTTGCATTCTTCACTCAGAGGCAGTGGCAAAGGAATACAAAGCAAGCCTGCAGACAAACCAAAACTCATGTTCAAGCAAAGGCCCCTCAAAAGTACTGATATTAAATAAGACACTTAGCTTCAAGTTCCTCATCCGTAAAATGGGTATATTTGTTCATCTTATTCACCAGTTTATAATGCTAATAAATAAAGCAATGGATCTGAAAATACCTACACAAAGTAGCTGAGTATGCTTTGATGACCTGGAAGCAGACAGGATGCAAGAAACTATACTTAAAGATTCTTGCTACCAAATTTGCTATGAGACTCTGAAGGACCCAAAGCTTTGTATCTGACCTAGAATGCTTTTCACTATTAAAAGGTTTCAGTGTCTTCACCATGGCAGTACCACCTCTATGAGAACTCTTGCCAAGAAATTAAGAGCGTTCACATCAGTAATGCTTCAACTTACCTGGACTCACTTCAAGATGCAAAAAAAAAAAAAAAATCCTTAGGACTATATTGGGGCTCTTTCATTTTTAAAAATATTGTGGGACATCAAAATACTAATGATTTATCTTCAAATATACAGGCATGTAAACTGAATTGGTCCATGTTAGTAAGAAATATTACCAGTTCTTGGAGAAGGGGCCCTTGCAATTTCTAAGGAGCAAGGCTTCTTTGTAACTGCTGTGTCCATGAGATCACATAGAAAATTCTCATTTTCTGAAGGAAATGTATCCAGAGAGGCAGATGGTACAATTTCCATAGTGTAATTCCTCTTCTTTGGATAGGACTCCTGAAAGGAAGGAGAAAAAATAAAAATAGCTTTGTGATAAAGACACAGCCTGTTTAATTTATAAAAACTAGAAAAGATAATAAGTTTCGTCAGTTCTTCTAAAAATGATTGAGAGGTGATGACTCATCTGTTTGAATAAGTTATGCAATTGTGTAACCCCAATATTACCAGTGATCTTTTTAGAACGGTCCTTGTAATTTGGTTCCCCTGAAGTTATCACTAAAGTTCTTGACTTCGAGTCATGATCTCTTTTTAATAAAATATGTGTATTTTCTACCTGTGGCATAAACAGTTGTTTAATCAACAGTCATTCCCAAGACTCTTCTCCTTTGCCTACTTCTTAGAGATAGACATATGACTCAGTTTTTGACCAGTTAGATACAAAGGGAAATTTGCTAGGAGGCTTCTGGAAAAATATTCTTTCCCCAGAGAAACAAGGTATGCAAAGAGGCTCTTGCGGAGTTTTGGCCATCCTCAGTTACCTCTACCTGGGTGCAGGTTTGATGCTTGGGGCACAGGTAGGCAGGTTGTAACCTTAAGGCAGTAAGCCTCTTACCTCAAAAAGACAACTGGTCAAGAATGACAACAGCAGGATTTTTGAAAAGCCTGGGACCTTGATAATATCATTGAGTTGCTCAGATAGTTTCAGGACCAGTTTCTTCAGGCTTCTTAAGCAATTATTAAAGTTTCTTATTGTTTGAGTCATTGCTAATTGGGTTTTCAGTCATTTAGAAGTGAATGTGTTCCCACCCAACACACTTCCTTTGTGAATACTGCTAATATACTAAGGTTACTCTTTTCAGGCTGGGATAAAATTAAGGTCTTATTCTATATTACTGATTCTCCAGTATACTCTGAAAATTGGAACTCATTTCATTTTACAATATCTTTATATCTTGTACAAGGTGTTGTGTGTGTGGAAGAGAGAGTATATGCGTGTATGTAACTCAGTCGTTGCTCTCCACCTTTGAGATCCCACAGACTGCGGCTGACCAGGCTCCTCTGTCCATGGAATTCTCCAGGCAAGAATACTGGAGTGGGTAGCTATTCCCCTCTCCAAGGAATCTTCCTGACTTGGGATCGAACCCGGGTCTACTGCATTGCCGGCAGATTGTTTACCATTTGACCCACCAGGGAAACCCATTCAAGGCATTAATGGTCAGCAAATATTTATTGAGCATCTATCATATACATTTAGAACTATGTTAATTGCTGGAAATGTTTAAAAAATGAATAAGATGTAATCCTCGTACTCAGAAAGTTTGTAGTTTACCAGAAAAGAAAAACAGATTATCCACGTGATAAATTTGACAATTAATCAAATTTACTTTTGATGTATATTACCTTTATAAACCATACTTCACTATCAAAAGAAAAACAAATGAAAAACTCATTTTCAAAAAATCTTCCAATATATATCCAAGGATTGGTAAAGATTTAGTACAAGCTCCTATTTTTTTCTTTAGTGACACTTACAGTATAGTAGAATAAGTATTCAAGGTCAGAGTAATTGCTTTCAGACCATACCAGACCCTCGCACATCAAAGAGTCAATTATGTTCACTCTACTCTATTGAAAGCAGGAAATTGGGAGTAATTTATTTTTAACAACAAAGGGTGACAAAGTTGAAAGCATCCAGAGGAAAGCAATCAGGATGGTATATGATTTAAAAACCATGTCACAGAAGAAATGATGAAAGGAACTGCAGTGTTCTATCCCAGAGAAGTCAAACTGCCGCGTAATAGTTATCTCAATATATTTGAAAGGCTATCCCTCACGAGCTTCCCACAGAGTGGGAAAGGGTATGAGAGGCTGTGGAAGATTTATTCTAAAGTTCTTTGAGACAGAATAAAGAAAAATGTTTATCAGTCAAGGAAGGCAAATTTGGGTCAACACACAAAAAAATTTTTCTGTGAATTAATAATATTGCTTATCTTCTAAAATGGATTATTTAGCTAAAATAATTAGCTAAAAGATAGCACTAGAAAGCAACACAATGAACTCCTCATAAGTGGAAATGTTTGCATTTACTGATAAAAATATGTATAAAAGACACTGTACAATGAATACACCAGGTGACTGTAAACTCCATGAGAGCTAGAATTTTTCTCATTCACATTCTATCCCCAGAATCTAATATAACTCCTGCCACATAATGGGTCCTCAGTAAATACTTATTGATCAACTGAACATCCTCGAACACCATTTCAAACAAGTCTAAGTACCAGTTAGGAAAAGGAAAAGGATAATGCTTTTTAAAGATTCAAATTACTTTACTTCCCTGTCTTCCTTATTATTGTTTACTGCTTTGAATATCAAAAGTGAAAAAAGTGAGATCCAATGAGATTGCAATGAGTCTATGAAGAAAGAATCTCTAGCTTAAACCTTGTTTAGTCACCAAATCAAATTCAACTCATTTGTGACCCCTTGGACTGTAGCCCACCAGGCTTCTCTGTCCCTGGGGATTTTCCAGGGAAGATTACTGGAATGGGTTGCCATTTCCTTCTCCAAGGGATCTTCCTGACCCAGGGATTGAACCTGCATCTCCCGCATTGACAGGTGGATTTTTACCATTGAGCCACCAGGAAATCCCCAGCTTAAACCCTAGTTCATCTCAAATTAATCCAGACTATCTATTTTTCATGGATTTTGTTAGGCTTCAAATTACTTTACTTCCCTGTCTTCCTTATTATTGTTTACTGCTTTGAATATCAAAAGTGAAAAAAGTGAGATCCAATGAGATTGCAATGAGTCTATGAAGAAAGAATCTCTAGCTTAAACCTTGTTGTTTAGTCACCAAATCATATTCAACTCATTTGTGACCCCTTGGACTGTAGCCCACCAGGCTTCTCTGTCCATGGGGATTTTCCAGGGAAGATTACTGGAATGGGTTGCCATTTCCTTCTCCAAGGGATCTTCCTGACCCAGGGATTGAACCTGCATTTCCCGCATTGACAGGTGGATTTTTACCATTGAGCCACCAGGAAATCCCCAGCTTAAACCCTAGTTCATCTCAAATTAATCCAGACTATCTATTTTTCATGGATTTTGTTAGGCTGGACTTTTACCATATTTATAAAGAATTACGAGGATTTTAAAAGTCTTGAAAACAACTTTGAAATTTAACCACGCAGGATGAGTTAGTAAATTATATACATTTATTAAAGAAATATTTAAAAATATAAAGCAATGGAAGAAATATCACATGAAAACCTGCATGCTCAAATAGTTAATAGTATTTTGGTGTATATTCTCCCAGATGGCTTCCATGTGTGTGGACATGTGGTGTGTAAGGGAAAGACAAACTATTTTAAACAATAATGAGGTATACCCTCTTCATTTTCCTAAGGGAGTGTCATTATTTCTTATTGGCATAGAAGTCTGGAGTACACGCATGGCCTCCTTATGGAGAGTGAGAGCCCCAAGGGAAGGATATAGTAAACGAAGATAGCAAAGCTGCATTTTTGTAATCAAGTGTTTGAAAGTGAATTAATTGGGAGAGGAGCAGGACTAGAGGCAAGGAGACCAGTTGGGAAGCATTCTAGCAGTTCAAGTAATAAATAATGGTGACCCAGACCAAGGTGGTAGCAGGGGTAGAGAGAATGATTCATAAATCATAATTCATAAATGAATGTGTTTGAGGTACAGAATTCAGTGTTGAATATGGGACTTAGGGAATGACTGGGCATGAAGCTGAAGAAGAGTGAGAATGAAGAATTGTCCCCAGGTTGTTTACGTCAGTGGTGTATGGAAGTACTGCTTACTGATAGGAAGCAAAGGAGAGGCAATGATTTGAGGAGAAATTGACAAAAATGTTTCAAGAACTTTTTTGAAAAATAGACATGAGGACAATCATGAATGCTTTGATAAGGATAAATATGCAGAGAGACATATCCTTTTTCACTTTCCTCAAGAGGCTCTTTAGTTCCTCTTCACTTTCTGCCATAAGGGTGGTGTCATCTGCATATCTGAAGTTATTGATATTTCTCCTGGCAATCTTGATTCCAGCTTGTGCTTCACTGAGTCCAACGTTTCTCATGATGTACTCTGCATATAAATTAAATAAGCAGGGTGACAATATACAGCCTTTCCTGATTTGGAACCAGTCTGTTGTTCCATGTCCAGTTCTAACTGTTGCTTCCTGACCTGCATACAGGTTTCTCAAGACACAGGTCAGGTGATCTGGTATTCCCATCTCTTGAAGAATTTTCCACAGTTTGTTATGAGCTACACACTCAAAGGCTTTGGCATAGTCAATAAAGCAGAAATAGATGTTTTTCTGGAACTCTTGCTTTTTAGATGATTCAACGGATGTTGTCAATTTGATCTCTGGTTCTTCTGCCTTTTCTAAAACCAG